TACTCCTGCGAGTAATAGTAATCGATGGAAGTTGAAAGACACTCATCGTCGTCGAAATGATCGTACGTTACGCTCACATACTGCTACGCAAGCTAAGAAGCATAAGAAACAACATGATGCTACTATTATTAAGAAGCGTAAACTTCGTTCTCTTTCGGATGCTATGACTAGCAATGGAAATAGTAGTCATCAGAATCTTAGTAGTGACAGCGATAGTAAGGAGACAGAAAGTGTGAGCAGTCCACCTATAGTGACTAGTCGATCAACTTCATCGAATGAGCCTTCTAGTGTTTTGACGTCATCGGACCCTGCCGCGAATGCTAAGTTGATTGAGGATACACAAGGTTGTGTAACTGTAAGTGTTCCTACTTCGGTTGACTGTCAGTCGAGTGATGATGAGAAGGAAGCGTCTGATGGTAACAGTCAGTCTACAGTGTTGCATGATAACGATGCTATTGATATGCACATGTCTTGTGTTTCTGAAACGGAATATGAAGAACAACAAGTGAGTTTATCGGTTTTGGATTGTGACACTAATGCTGTTCATTCATGTAGCGAGATGAGTTATACAACAAAGGAAGAGTTTCACTCTACGGCTGCTAGTGCAGCCAGAAACGACGCGACTTGTCTGACAGAACGAAATCATGATGACGATGATAATAATCTGGATGTCACTGATGTGACAAATGATTTGTCGACGATAATGATTGCTGATCAAACCTCCTCTGTATCAGGAGTTGGAGAGTTAGATATTGTTCCTATGTTATGTCACTTAGAGTCTTCAGGAGACGAGGAGATGTCGAAATTGGAGATCCCACCCTTGCATATTATTTTATGGGGCAAGAGCTTCTGTTGATAAGTCAGCATCACGGACTTCATTGTATCTGCCATTCGGGGCAAGTGGTGGTGGATTGACGACTCATCCCCATGATATGGAATGTAATTCCCGGATAGGATATGACCAGCTTTACGACATGTTGTTCATGTTCATGTGGGTTGATTGGATAAGGTTTATACTACCGTTAGGTCATGCTACGATAGATAGGGGAATCAAGGGCCTAATGGGAAGGTATAGGTACCTAGTTGGCTTGATAGGTCATATCCATGTTGAAGGGCGGGTAGGCGTACTGCTGTAAGTCCTACTCGTTCTTCCGGTGTGGATTAAGGGATGAGAGTTAACCCTGAAATTAAGTGTCAGAAAGGGCTTGATTTTTGCATAGAGGGATTTTGCGGGCCGGTGTAGAATCTACTTTGAATGTTTTGTTTTTTTGGAAAATCCACCCATGTATATATATTTGTGTTATGATATGACTGACTCTTTCTGTTGACATTTTGGTACTCTATTTGATTCCAGTTTGAGATTTTATCATTGTATATTGTTATTATTTCTATATTTTGTACTGATATTGAAGTTTTTGTGTTTGCTTCTGAACTGTACATATGTTGTTTAAGTTTGATATATAATATGGCTACAGCCATATTTGGATTTGATATTTCAACAGTACGGACTGGAGGCACTTATTCTTCCAGAAACGGGTACCCACCGCGGTAAATGGGAAAAAGAAGGTGTAATATTGTTTGTTAATTATCTGTATTTCCATTTTATTGAATTATAGGACTGTTTTCTCCCAGAATTATTGTGTTTTGTTTTCGGATACAGGGACAGCGCGTACTAAACTGCACCTATTCAAAACGGAGTGGACTTTTGGAGTAGAAAATTCATTTACAGTAAGAACTCGGCTACTGTGTCGACTGAATCAATATCATAGACTCTCATTTAGAGACTTAGTCAGTGAGTATCAATATCTCATCAATCTTCAGCGCAAAACGTCGCTGGTTCAGGGTGGTCGGTCTAGTCGATCTAAAGAGCATGTAGTACAACAGACACCTGACCAGAGTGAATGTGCCCCTGCTGCACCCAGTCCATCACACTGCAGCTCGGTGTGACACACGAAGATGAATCCTCTTGCTCCTTGCTGGCACTGTGGTGAATAATACTATGTGCGAAGCTACCCATTTAAGCAACGTCAATGCAGAAAATGTAATGTCGTCGGATGGTTTTTGTTTTACGAGAAAGCAAACCCGATCCTGAAGTTCCAGGAAGACTGTTTCTAAATCCGGTACCAATTCGTTAAGCCTAATATCTTCCTATCAAACTCATCACCAGGTGAGAGGAAATCCATTAATCCCAATACTAACGGACATCCGTTTAGATTGGAAATAGATACGGCATCTGATTTCACAGTTATCTCACATAAAACTTGGATCAAACTGGGCAACTGAAGCCTGCAGCGGACACTAAAAAAGCCTTGTTCTGCATGCGTTTATTACCTTCCTCTTTTTAGGACAATTGGAATGTAAAGTCACTTTACAGGATTTTTCATTTACTGGAGTATGTTATGTAACGCCAGGTGGTCTAAATTTACTTGGTTTAGATTAGCTTATGCCCCGTCAAATACCATATGACACCTAGTATCACAACCACGTGACCCTGGAGCATATACGAGGAAGCTAATGACACAGTTTTGAACCGTTTTCCAGCATGGATTATGTCGGTGCGCTGCCATGTCCGTCCAATAGACCCGTACCTAGTTCAACATTAACAGCAGTAGAGGAAGAGTTGGATCGCCTTCAACGACAAGGAGTTATTACTCTTGTTACTTGTTCTGCCTGGACAGAACCTATAGTTGTTATTAGGAAGGCCAACGTCATGATGCATATATGTGCTGGCTTTTCTACAGGTCTCAATGCAGTTCCGGAACAGCAGCATTACTTCCCGCTAGTTTCCGCAGATTTGTTTATTATGCTGTATGGGGAGACTTTTTTGCATAGCTCGATCTAGCTGATGCTTATTAGCAAGTGGAGGTAGATGAAGAATCAAGTGAACTGCCTACTATCAATACTCGTCGTGGTTTTGTTTCAGTACAACCGTCTGCTTTTTGGAGTTAAGACTGCCCCATCTATCGTCCAGCAAGTAATAGATACTATCCTATCAGATATCTCAGGGGTTGCAGTTTATGTCAGTGATATCTTATTTGTCGTGAAGACGTTAGAACAGCTACGGGAACGCAAGACATTGGTACTACAACGCATTAGTGACAACGGTTTCTGGTTAAGCCAAGAGAAATGTCAGATTTTATTGCAGTCCTTAAAGTATTTGGGATTCATCTTTGATGCCAACGGCCGCAGACCGGATCCTTAGAACATCCAAGCTAACAAAATGATTCCCACTCCTTTTAATGTCTCGAAATTACGATCTTTTCTTGGATTAATCAGTAATTATTCAGCGTTTGTTCCTTTGATGCATGATACCTGCGCTCCATTGAATTGTCTATTTCAGAAGCATAGCACATGGAATGGGACTAAAGAGTGTGACGCGGCTTTTGGTAAACTAAAGTCCATAATTAGCTCGGAATTGTTATTAACACACTACGACCTATCCATGCCAATCATCGTAGCAGCAGACGCTTCAGCATATGGCCTAGGTGCTGTTATTTTACATTGGTTTATAGACACGTCAGAAAAAGCTGTTATTCATGCATCCCGTACACTAACCCCAGCAGAAAGAACTACAGCCAGATATAGAAAGACTCTGTTGCCCTTGTGTTTGCTGTGCGATGTTCTCACAGCTTTCGGTACAGTTCAGGATTCACACTTCTCACAGACCACAAGCCTCTGCTAGCAAAATTCTTGTCAAAATCTGACATCCCAGACCATTCTGCAAATCGTCTTCAGTGATGGGCCTTAATGCTTTGGGGTACGATTTCGAAATGCAATATCGACGCATTCTACAATTCAGTCAGGCAGACGCTTTGTCACGACTCGTTATTGATCGATTGGCGGCTAAAGTAAACATGGTAACCGCATCTCCATCACCGAAAGACCACTCAGAATGCAATCTGACAATCGCTGTACAGGAATTACCGGTGTCTGCAACAGACATACAAACTGCTCCCAAGAACGACCTCATCATCAAAATGACGATGAAATATGTCACTGACGGTTGGCCGTCTAAAACGTTTGACGATGACATGCAGCAACTGTATCAGCGGAGGGTATCACTGTGTATTGCAAATGACTGTTTGATGTCTGGAGAAGTAGTGGTGGTGCCAGAATCCACGCAAAAGTTATGGGACAGTTCCACCTTGGTCATCCATGGGCTAGACGGATGAAATCCATAGTCAGGAGTTAAATATACGGGCCCTTAATGGATCAACATATTATCGAGCATGCATGCAGTGTCAGCAGGTGGCAAAGATGAATGCCAAAGTTCCGCTGCTTACATGGCCAAAACCTGATCATCCTTGGTCCAGGATACACGTTGACTTCGCTGGTCCGATCAATTGAACTATGTATTTAGTTGTGGTCGACGCCTTCTCGAAACGGCCAGAAATCAACGCCATAATGCCTCCAACGACATTTAAGACAATACAGCTCCACAACGAAATTTTCTATCGAAACGGTATGCCAGATGTCATCGTATCTGACAATGAGTCTCAATTTACCTCTACTCAATTCAAGACTTTCTCTCGACGGCTAGCCATTAAGCACTTTCGCTCGCCACAATACTACCCGCAATCGAATTGTCAGGAGGAAAGGTTTATGGATACGTTTAAAAGAGCATTGGTTAAGTCGAAAGGTAAGGAGACACCAGCCGACGCGTTACAAAGCATCTTGTACGGTAGTCGAACAACACCAAATGAGAAGTTACCGGAGCAAACGTCCCAGGCAAAAATCCTGAAGGGAAGAAGACTGAAAACAATCCACAGCCTGATGCATCCGACTAATGCATCAACATCAGTGCAGACAAAGCCGCAAAAACGAAATGGGATGCCCAGTGTTTGCCCGTGACTTCAGACCTGCCCATGGTTACTGGAAAAAAAGCTCAAAAGGTCTGATTCTGACGTCGTATTTTTTCTGTAAGATATCTAGAACCACGGGTTTATTGAGCACAATTCGATCAAGCTGGTAGTATTATTCAAAAAAAATTAATTGAACGTATGAATGAATATTCGAAAATTGAAAAGATTCGTATTTACATTGGTACATGGAATGTGAATGGTCGAAATGATGCAAATGCAACGATACAATTAGATAATTGGCTTAAATCATCGGATGATGATCAACCACCAGCTGATATTTATGTATTTGGGTAATTTCTTCATTTGTTTTTAAAGATTTATCATAAATTTCTTTTTTTGCTGAAGGCTGATCTCATCTGAAAGAAAACCCCATTTGAAACTAATAAAGACGAGTTAATATTTGCATCTTTTATGGGATTCCTTTATTTAGTTACAGTATTCGCTTCCTAAAGTAAGTACATCAGATCCACTATACTAATGATGGTGTTGAATGAGTTACAGCGTTTAATTGTCGAACCGAACTGTGATTAACTCAAATCTTATGAATTGGTCATTCCAACCTAGATAAATATATGTATTTGAGATGTTGCCAGTTTAGAATCTCTCATCTACTGTTTAATTTTCAAATGTTACATAAACACAATCACTTGGTATTATCCCTGTTAGCAGATCCGGCACTCCTCAACTAATGGACACGGATTGTTTAGTGGGCTACGTGTTGAGGACGTTAGATCCCCGGAATTCACTTGCAAAACGTCCTAATTTTGTGATTTACTTCTGAAAATTTGAATATTTTGTGTTTTCGCGCAAAAGTTGCTCATCTGACCTTGGGCTTACATTTCCGACTAGGAAAATCCTTGACTGTCATTGGTTGATGTATTATTTTAGTACGCCATTTTGTGGTTCTCCAAAAGACGTTTCTATCTATTATAAATAAGCTGGATTTGTGTGCTTACCGACCTCATATTTTCTGGGTGTTTGTAGAAAACACTTTCGATGCTTTATCAAGACTTCTTCCTCTAGTTGGCAGAGCCTGAGGCAATCGGATTAGAATATCCTATCGAGTCACTGCATCGCTGATCTTCGTTCCGTTTACTGAGTAGGGTGAACTCGTAATAGTTACAAGCATATTAGTCAGCAACGCTGCCTGTCTCTGATATTCACCCCAAGCGAGTCAGTCAGCTGTCTTCCGTTTACGATTTTGCAGTTTAATCTATCGTAAGAATTCCATTTGATGTTGAAGAAGCCTCCATAGTTTTGTCTTGCCCACGCTATCTCGTAGTCAATAAAGTTGATCTAGAGTGATGAACTGGATTTAACTGACTGTTTCACAACGATCCATAATGTTGCAATTTGGTAGGTACACGATTAGTATTTACGGAATTCAACCTGTTTATCTTGAAATTAAGCTTACATGGCGTTCTTAATTCTTTTACAACATTCTGTTGAAGTCTTTGCCTGTTACTGAGAGAAGAGTTATGTCTCTGAAGTTTTCACACTTGCTGGTATTTTGAGAAGGTATCCTTCTTTCCAGTATGTTTTGAACTTGTTCTTCATTCTAAATCTTGTTAAGGCGAATGTAGAGTATTTTTGCAGTTGCTGCTTGGTCTGCTTTCATTGCCTTTTCTGGAATGTTTTCTGATCCCGCTACTTCGGAATCGTATAATAATTTACTCAAAAGAACAACGGATCTTGAAATAAAACATTTGGTTTTGGATGATATTTGGAACCATCTGCTTCAAAAATCAACTGATGCATCATCTCTGTTGATGAGCACCATTTCTTGTCCCGATAAAAGTAAGGTCATGTTATTTAGGATGCTGATAATTTCGTGATAGTAATCTGTACTCTAACAATGGATATCGAACTTACTACTCAATGACCAAAATTAAACATTTTAAAAACTTCAAAGAGTTATACTAGTCTAATTTAGTTATTCAACAACTGAGTGTCAGTCACTCTTGTTGACAATCTCTACGCATACATATTAAATGAGTTGTGTGAACCTACACAGAATAACCGTGCATTCATTCTAATCACAGTCTGGTCTATCATCCTGTGATTCGTTTCATATCACCGATTACTGACATTTGTCATGTTGAACAATGAGTGGATCACATTGTTTGTGAATTAATTTCACACAATTTCATCACTGTTGCGTTAATTGCAGTTGACCTCGGTTTCCGTCATGGTGTCTATTCACATGGTTTCTCTGGTTTATTATTAGCACAAATCCACACCACAATTTTCTCATCATTGTGCTATTTGGTTGATGTGATCTTGCCAGTCATTCTATTGTTCTGTTGATGATACAGAATTTTGAGAGGGTGAATTTGACCGCCTTCACTCATCTGATAATATGTGTCGTTTGGTGGTGTTCTGAAGATTGATTGTATTTTTCTCTAAGGTGATCAGGCGACTTTTATGTTGTGTTTCATTTCATATTTTCGGTTATATTGAAGCACTGAATTATGTTCTAGTGTGCTTGCTCAGTTATTTACACTCAAATAATTACTGTGACGTCCTTATTATTGCGCGATCGTGAATATGTAGTTGATTTATGGGGATGAGTACTGACAAAATCTATCAACAATGCCTAGTTTTTTGATTGGATAGATTTCCAACAATGTATTCAGCTAAACTAATCCTTCTGGGCCTTATACCACACCCTAAATGTCTACATGAAGAGGCAAGGTGACAGCTTTTCTTAACACCGAAACCATTCAAAATCAGCAGATGAGTTTATTCATTATTTATATTGTAAATGTCAGGTGAAGAGTTTGCTTATCAACGTATTCTCATCATCTTCTACAACCATAAATTTAAAATTATTCATTTAAAACTTTTGCTAATTGTAGCGCAACTTTATAAGTGATAATTTATCGATTTGGGATTGTTTAATAAAAAGTTATGGAGATTAATGTTTTTACACATTTGAAATCATCAACCAATCATTGTTAGACCACCATTAGAAACCTAGAAACACTGGGTGGCCGTTTTGTCCTGGTATGGAACTCACCAGCAGTGCGCATCCACGACTCCTGCACCTCGCAGGATCCGAACCCGGGACATTCGGTATTGTGTGCGAACGCCTAATCATTGGACCAATGTGCCGACGGTATCCAACGGTGTTAATGTCTAACACAACTCCTACATCTCGCAGGATATAAAATCAAATATTTTTTAAAAATATTTTTATGTCCGGTGTACTTATTGTGTTTACTTGAATTAGTTTAAATGTTCAATGAAATTTACAAAACAATTTGTCATTTTCGACTTTTTCTAAAGCGATAAGTAAATATTTTACAGGGATTTTTTTAAATTGGCAAAAATTTCCAACTTTATCAATTTTCTTTGAGTGATTCGGAAACGAGTTTGTGTCAATTAGATATAATTTCATTTAGTTGATTAAAACAAATGTTCAATGTCTGGCAATTAAAATCGGATAATTCAATCTTAAATCATATTCATTCTTTGCATTCAATATAAAATTGAATTTTAAAACTAAGTCTACTTAAAGATTAATAAGATACAGTGTCTGAAATAAAAATCGCTTTATTCGTTATATTGATTTTCGTTTTTAAAATATGCACAATTGCAAATTATGGAGAAATATAATCACAATCAGTATTGATTGTTGAAATGTTTTCTTTCAATAAGTTGTTCTTTAGTACAGGATAGCAAATTTCTTTCCCAACAGCTGATGAATCAGTATTTTCGTCTGTTGATTCTGTCTGTTCTTCAGGTGTGTTTGAAATGGTCGTTTCATCCTCCGAACCAATTGTAGGCGAATGACGGATCGCATTGTCTGTATTTTGTACAGCTGAATCAGCATTTTCGTCTGTTGATTCTGTCTGTTCTTCAGGTGTGTTTGAAATGGTTTTTTCATTCTCCGAATTAATTGTAGGCGAATGACGGATCGCATTGTCTGTATTTTGTATAGCTGAATCAGTATTTTTGTCTACTGAATCTGTCTGTTGTTCAGGTGAGTTTGAAATGGTTTTTTCATTCTCCGAACTAATTGTAGGCGAACTGGAGCTCGCAGTATCTGTACTTTGTGCTCCAGGACATAAATCACGTGATTTCACTTCATACGGTTTCTCATTATTCCAGTTACCACTAAAAACAGTGAACACAAATTAAAATTCAGTTAGAACAAGTTTAAAAACTAGAATGTAGTGAATGAAAGCAAACATTTGTTCTTATCTCATATGCAACCACTTACCCTGGACCATAGTTACACACAATTGACATTAATTTGGGTTGCGAACAGTCGGTTATTCCACATCCAATGTCTGTGGTATTGGCCCAAACCATCTGAAACGGAATATCAACAACGAAACAATAAGATCGGATGACCGATTAAAAAGCATTTCTATTGTGTTTCAATGAAAAGTGTACATTTAGATTATTTGTGCTAGTGCAAACGACTTTTTCGAATTTCAGTGTGTTTTGAATGAGTATCTTTACACTCGGTGTAATGTTGATGTCTAGTGGAATTCGCAGAACACTGACTCATTCTGTTTCATGCCAACATTTCAAAGTGTCCTCACGATCAAACGTCCTCTAGCATTTCACAGAACATTACAATGCAATTTGCCCAGTATTTGCAATGAATTTCTGCCGAGCAGCTTTCAACAGACTTTTTGTAAATAATGATGACAGTTCCATTGAGATTCAAATTAACTCGTCAGCAATAATGCACAGTGATCACAGAGTAATTTGTTGTTTGTTGTTTTCGACCAAGTGATCTGTCCTCTCGACGAAACACACATATTCATGCCTCTATCGTTGTAATTCATTGTGTATGTGTCAGTCTAACTTTCCATTACCATTATCTGGGACTTTCAAACCACTCCAAATACATGATAATAATGATAGCTCAATCTTACTTGTAGCATATGTGAATGGATGGTATGGTGAACGCAAACAGCACTCAAATTGTCATCTTCAATTGGATAAGAATGAACTTACTTGTGTGTAATGCAAACATGCTTGACAATTCCCAACATAGTAATTGTACATCTTATGCTCATTGAACCATGCTTCGAGACCTCTGAATTACAAAACAATGTATGGTGTACAATTTTTTTTCTTTACTTACGACTCAATAGTCGGATGAAGAGCTATATTCTGTCCAACCCAATTGAAATTCTTCGACTTAGCCAATTCATGACGTAGGACACATTTATTTGCTAGTTGTTGTGCTTGTTCAGCCAATTCGTAATTCCAGTTCTATGAGTTAAGAAAAAAAATTTACACCGAACGATTTTAACAAAACATCAAATACTGACTTACCAATGGTGACATATATTTAGCTGGTGGTTGTCCTTCAACTTTACAATCCACCATATCCTTTCTGTATTGTCGATGTAGTTGGAGAATTTTTGTTCGTTCTTTACCAATGTAACTCTCGGCATAAATCATCCCAACAAGTACTAGTAGTACATGTATCAGCACAAAAGCCACATTCATACAATGTTGTGACATAATAATAATAATAAGGAAGTTTTTTTATTCTGTCTTCTCGATTTTTGAATAGTATATATATATATATGTATATATTGTCTTATAACCTTCGATATATCATGGGAATTTAATTTCTAAACAATGCATTCACAACTGTTTGTTAACTATTTCTGTTTTTCCCCTTGAAAATTATTCAACAATTCAACAGTTTTCATTCACAAAATCTAATTGACATTTGTCTAATCATGATAAGTAGTTTGCTTCTAAATATATGTATATATATATATATATCTGTCTCTCACATGTTTACTGAGTTACATACATGTAAATCAGTTAAATGTCATTGAAAAAATAGTAATATTCTCAAATGTCATTTTTGTGAATTGATTGAAATATATGTATATATATTTTTGTAGGTTGTATGAAAAAAATAAAATAAAACTTATTCATTTTGATTTGTATTCTATCAACAACTGGACACTTTTGAAGAGAGAGTTGTTTTTTCTTTTATCCGGCCAGTTTTCGAACTGTGTTAAGTTCGTCACTAAGTATGCATGAAACTATTACAGGTTCGCCTTAGTCGATCAATGTGAACGAGGCAATGAACCAGAGTCCAGGTAGGCTATTTTGATCCGAAATAGCTAAAGAGAAGTTTTGTAATAGCGTAAAAAGTATATTCTACAAACACCCAGCAAGCACAATACAATCAAGCACACAAATCCCGTTTATTTATACATCATAGAAACATCCTTAGCACAGTCACAAAAATAGCACATTAAAATACATAGCAGACAATCACAGTTAAGGATTTTCCTGGTGAGAAATATAATCTCAATGTCAATTGATCAGCTCATGCTCGCAAACATGAAATCCAAAATTAAAGCACTTATTAAGCGAGTTCTAGGGATTTAACGTCCGCAACATTAAGTTCACCATAATTTCCTTATTCATTAACAATTTACATTGTGAACAGTTAATTATTTCCTATTTTTTTCATTTAAAATTAGTTGGATTATAACTTATCAGTCAGTCAGTCAGATGCAACGTAGAACTTCGTACGTAAGTACATCAGTTCATGTTGCCATACCACATTAGCACAGAGATGTAATTGTCAATTCAAATCCAATAGAAGTAGAGGTAGTAAAAGTATTAGAAGTAATCAAAGAGATTAGGATTAGAAGATATTATTCAAGAAGTATGATTCAGTGAGAAAAGTTTAGAAAGTCAAAACTAGAAGTGTCGAAGAATCCAGAGGACTAGGATTTGGGAGAACATAAAGAATAAATGCACCGGCGCCATTGCGAACGATTTTGAGCCATGTCATTCAAGGTCTTCAACCATCGATTATTATCATCTCGTGGACCCCAACCTGGTAGTCGACAACTACCGACATGGCTAAGTCCACTCGTCAATGACTTCATGGATTTCTGCCATGTTCTGGTTTGGACGCCCCTATCTTTCTTCCAAACTATTCCTACACTACAAAACATAACTCGTCGAGGAAGTCGGTGGTTAGGCATACGCAGCACATGTCCCAGCCACCTCAACTAATGAAGTTTCAGCACTTCATCTATTGATCTGCCATTCTTACCTAGCACCCGTTTCCTAATAACAGCGTTGCTCACTCGGGTGTCCCAGGATATACGAGCAATGCTTCAAAGACACATATGATCGAAAACCAATAACCGACGAATATCTTCTACTCTCACTGGTCATGTTTCACAGCCATAAAGTAAGACGGAGCGAACCACTGCACAGTACACTCGTCCTTTAGTCAGCAAACAGATATCTCGCCTACGCCATAAGTGACGCAGTTTGGCGAAAGCCAATCGAGCCTTCTGTATCCGTGCTGAGATTTCGTCAGTCATCAGGCCATCGGCACTGATGAGACTCCCCAGATAAGTGAAGTGGTCTACACATTCGACTACTTTACTCTCTATCACTATTTTAGGTGCCGATGCAACCCAATCTTGAAGCAACATTTTGCATTTCGAGGGGGAAAATCTCATCCCGAACATGCTTGCATTGTTGCTTAGGGTAGTCAGAAGGCTCTGCATTTTGTCAGCGTCTTCACCAAGTAGGACTATGTCATCGGCATATTCTAAGTCAATAAGCGAGCCACCTGGTAGAAGGTCTACTCCAGAAAATTCAGACGAACATAAGGTTATTTCTAGGAGTATGTCTATGATAAAATAAAACAAGAATGGAGAGAGTGGACATCCCTGACGAACACCACTTGAAGTAAAGAATTCCTTTGACGGACAGAGATGTTTCAAACATCACTGATCTAGTTCACTAAATAAATGGATCAATGAATTTTCATCTCGTATTATTTTTTTTATTTTGGTTTTTTAATTAAAACAAAAATAAATGTATTGGTTGTACAACATTATTTCGCGCCTAATTGAAATTCGAACTAAATAATCCTTTCGTTTATGTCGACGCGTGGTTCTCTTTGAATTCAATACTAGTTCATACATTATGACTATAGTTTGAATTGGGATATTTCCTTGTATTACTGTAGTGAAAGAGAACACAGGTGAGGGCAACCGAATTGTATTTATCGCAAATGACAGAGTTAATTGGTAAAATAGGAACACATCACATCGTAAATCGTTAATTTGCAAAACATCAATCCATTGTCTGACATTTCACTGTTCATGAGTTTCATACAAATTACATTGTGTTCCCACTCTTTCTTTCTTGATCTTCCCTCATCTTCTGCTGCCAGACATTACATTTTCACTCGCTTTATATACTACTTATAAGTAGCGCGCACCACATTACTAGTTCCTATACGAAATACGATTACTCTTCATTATCATAGACAGAAGTAGAAGAAAAATTATTTTTAATCTAACAGAGTTTAATAATAATGAATTAGTAATGTTTGATATGTTGATAAGTGACACTAAATATTCATTGCTTCTTGCCTATTCTAATAGATAAAGTCTAATTAAGGAATGTTTATTGGCATAGTTTGAAACTGGTTAATCATACACCGCTTTCTTCAGTCTAACTTTAAAATAATTATCTCAAGGCTGGTGGGAACATTAAATCCCTTAAACTCACTTGTAAAAGGTCCTAACTTTGGGCTATTTATGTTTTCGCACATAAGCTGTTTAGCTGACCTAAAGATTATTTTTCTCATTCGGAAAATCCTTGACTAACATTGGTTGATGAATTATTTTAGCATGCTATTTTTTGCCTCTTTCAAGGACGTTTCTATCATTGTATAAATCAGCTCTTCTGAAAGAAGACTTTTCATCTCTCAGGGTAGAGTTTAAATGGCTTGAACTATTTTTTTTTTAGTTAGAGCTTTTTTAGCAAGTTGATTTTTAACGGTATGCTAACTCCATGTTCAACTATCTTTCTTTCGAAGTCCTGGGACCCATTATCAACACTAGAAAGGCTTGAAGATTTTCTATTCATCCTTGTTTTTAAATGCTCTCTATTTGATTTCAAACCTTGCTGTAAACTATTTCGAAACCATATTATACTGAACACCTTGGAAATGCTTCATTATTCTCTTTCTCATCGTTAGAGTGATATCCATTTACAACCAAGCAATATTGTAATCTAAATACAATCTTATAAACTATGATACTGTTTGTTTTTGTTTCTAAAGCTGACTATATTTGCACGAATCCTTTTGTTTGAAAATCCTTCTATGTAGATCAATGAACTGAATAATGGATACATGTAATGAAGCCAAGAACCTGCAGTTTATGGTGTCACGGAAGATATGCATTTTAGGTTTATCTAATTGGCTTTGATCGATAATCTAATTTTCTTGTCGTCGCATGAGTTAGAAGCTTTAATATGAAGTATTTAGAATCATCACAAGTCTTGTTTAAATTCATGGACCTATTCTCCACAGATGGAAAGACGAGTAAGTATGTTAAACACAACAATGATGACATATGAAGCATGAATCCACCTGAAATGATGCTTCTTTCCAGTGAAACTGCATAGAATTCATATCATACTCATGAATATATATACACATATATATTCTGGTGAAAGATTTTGAGTGTGAACGATCAGTGTAAGGAATTCCGCAAAGTTCTCCAAACAAATATCATCGAATGTAAAAGGGACCAGTGATTAATTTATTATAATTGCCATCTAAACACAACTGATCGGTATAAATTTTCCACTCCTAATGCTAAGGATGAATAAATACAAAGTAACAGAGGCTGAATACCTCCCTTTCTTTAAATTGGCAAACGGAAAACACAACTTCTCACCATCAGCATTTATATCTGCTGAATATTTCCAGATTCAATAACTATTTGAATTATTTGTTGGTTTTCAAACTTTTATATTCTACATCTTTGGCTTCAGTATGATTATCAACGGTACAGCCAGCTGAAGAGACTTATGTAGTGAAACTATTTTACATACTGTGATGTCATATTCACCTTTCATTTCATCCACACTTCATTTTCTTCGAATGTTACACTACACTACTCATTATTACTCAATAGTTTGAATTTTCTTTACGAATTTTAATGGCTGGCAAATGTAAGTGATACTATTCCCGCAATACTTATTTTGATTTGCTACAGTACTATCTTCTGTTATCATCATATAGTCTTATTTGTTTGAGCTATTGCATGGAGTTTTATCTTATCTGAAACAATAATTATTTCTAAACAATGTGTCTAGTATAACTTCATACAAACAGATTCTTTGATAAATTTAAACTGAGCAAGAATAGTTTCTCAGCAAATGAATATTACCTAAAAATACAGATCATAAAATAGTTATTAGGAAATATTCAGTATATTTTAATTCGGTGAAGTTTTGATAAATGTTCGAAATGTAACCATAATATGAAGAAGAATGGGGAAGTAAACTGTATGAATAAACATAGTTTAGATTGGTGATTATTTATATTGTGGAAAGTAATAAGCCAGAGCAAACCAGGTGTACGAATATATAGAATAATTATATATGACCTGCTATAAATTAACAATAAAAGTAATATTCCATAACAAGAGAAAATTAAGTATACGGATACATTTCCGAATAAATATAACATTGAAAATTTTGTAAGGAATGTTTGCCATATGTTCCACACCCGTTATTCCCGTCGTTATTAGACTACCAAGCGGTCCCAATATCCCTTATTCTACTATACATGATTTCGTGCTTGAGCACTGCTGAAAGGGTCCGCGTTAAAAGGAAATATTCAGGGTTTATTGGACCTCAAGGATCAGTCAGGGAGTTAAAACTATTAATAATTAATTTAATTAATTAATTAATTATGCTTTAATGACCCTGGGCCCATGAGATTCCCATCCTATCAGTGCACGTACCACTTACTCGTTGAACTTCAAATGATATTGAATATTAGATAATACTGAGAACAAACCAGATTCCATTGGAGGAGGAAATCAGGAAGAAGCGGTGGAAGTGGATAGGACACACATTGCGGAAAGCACTTGACAAGCCCTCACATGGAACCCCCAAGACAAAAGGAAAAGAGGAAGGCCAAGGAATACATTACGCCGAGAAATAGAGAAAGATATGAGAGGAATGAACAAAAATTGGGTGGAACTGGAAAGGAAAGCCCAGGACAGAGTTGGTTGGAGAAAACTGGTGGGCGGCCTGTGCTCCATTGGGGGTAACAGGCGTGAGTAAGTCTTTTCTCAATGACCAAGTTCAGTAAAATTTATGATATAAAACTCAAACTACTAAATATATTTTAGTACTATAAAAAAATTCACTAAAATTTAAATAAAATTGATGTGATATTTGAAAGCATAAATAGACTTGTCATACGACATAATGAGATACACGATGTTTTTTGTTAGATTCAATCGTTAAAAAGAATGAATTATATCTTTCAAATCTCTTTCAGTAAGAATAATGTTTCCTTCAATCATCAAATGATTGGTAGTTTTATGTTATTCCTAAAAAGTGTACATCAGTGAAGCAACTAAAATGATGTGTCGTAAATTAATTATTAATCTTTAGGTTTTATAGTATCAAAATTTATAATTCAGACATACATTTGGCATTATATATTTGAATATAACAACTACGACTAAAAGGTGGCGAAAATTGTTCATTGTGAAGATAGTTCAAATCGGCGCTTCATTTTGTATGAATTAACTGTGAAAGACCGCAAATGACTAGCTAACATTTTGTATTTCGTTCCATTATCATTATCAGTGTGTATGTATAACTGTTATATTAAGAATAATATAACACAAGATTGTGAACGTGTTTTTCATTCTCTGATCAAAACATCCAGATCAGAGAAGCACTATCTATCTCATAACACAAGATTTTCAACATTACTATCTGCGCGTTACTTCTAAATAAGCAAGGTAATATTTAATAACCGTAGTTAGCTTTATAATGATCTAACGATATTTATGCTAACAATATACAATGATAGTGGAATAAGAACAGTGTTTAGGATATACAAATGTCAGGCATGCTGGTTGTTATGTTCATCACTAAGTATGCTTGAGGCTATCACCTTAGTCGATAAACGCGAACGAGACAATTACTAGCGTCCAGATAGGCTACCTTGAATCCCGACCAAAGTAAGAAGGCTTTGTAAGCGTAGAAAGTATATTCTACAAACACACAGCAATCACAGTATAATCAAGCACACAAATCTCGTTTATTTATACATCATAGAAACATCTTTGGGACAAGTAAGAAAATAGCACATTAAAATACACAGCAGCCAATCGCAGCCGGGGATTTTCCTGGTGGGAAATGAAATCTCAAGGTCAACTGATCAGCCCATGCTGGCAAACCTAAAAACCTAAATAAGGCATTTAACAAGCGAGTTTTGGGGATCTAACATCCCCAACACTGATAGTGAAAAGCAGATTAGCAATAAGAGCTATAGTAAATGTATAAAGCTTTGATTTTTGGTATGATATGGACTTAGAGAGTCATGTAGCAAGTACATGAAGTATGCAGATATACATAAATAATAACACAAATGTATAGAAAAAAACTTATTCAAGGCTATACAAGAGTTATTAACAAAGACAAATTTAGGAATGGAAGAATAAATGATGAGATGATTAGACTAGCTAGTCGTATATTTTTTCTTTACATTCCTCGAGAGAAACGGTGTAGTGCCTTCACGTATATTCGAGTTCGCTTACATTTAATTTGGTTTAGCCCTTTCGATTAATTTATTTAACCAAGCCATTTGTATAATAATAACTTATATGTACCATTGGCTTTTATGAGTGTGTGGTTTGTATGAGCTTTACCTTTACGAGTTTACCTTCTGATTTATAACCGTCAGATGCCATTCAGTAACCATTGTCTGAACGAGCTAATTACCGAGCTTAAGAACACGTAGAAATTGGCCACTACAAAAAGGGATAAATCAATAATCGAAAATTTTAAAATTGAAGATCTACCCGAAATCAGGAGATTGCGCCTGCAAATTTAAAAGATGGTTCAAATGTACAACTTTAGCTATTCGATTTGTGCAATTTCAGTTGGTAATCGACAGAACAGATAAGATATCAGCGTACATTCCTAAATGTCACTCATCATTTTTTTAATGAACCTGCAATATTGAGTGAAAATAACCATTCTGTTTGGATTCAAACATTACTTGTCTATTTTCACAGTTAGTTAGTTTTCACTTGACATCTATAAGCTGTCCTCATAATGAAGTTATCATTAACACGGTTATGTAGACTGGTTATTGTTAGAATATTCATCAAATATCCTAAGAGAATAATTTTTAGAAGTCTAATTCTATTGATCGATTCCTACACTGGTCAATAACAAGCACTTCAATGTTGTTTCCTATTGTCACAGAATTCACTGTTGTTTCCTCTTTGACTTAACTGTATAAATACGCAATATCTGTAACTTTTTATGAACGAGACCCGGATCCGAAACCTCAGTCCAGGATCCATGTCTTCTTCTGAACTTGGGCCTCATACTTTCTGGATGCTTGTAGAATACATGTTCTCCTACTTCTTATCAAGTCTTCTTCTTTTACTCAGTGGGAGTTTGGGATCCTCGGATTAGAGCAGCCTGTCATGCCACCGGGTCCTCGATCCTCGCTCTCGTGTTCAAGCATATCAAAATGACGTGTTTACTTGCATGTGATAACAGTTAACTTATCCTATTGACATATATATATATATATATAACCAACTGACAGCAGCCTGCCGGAACCCGGGAGTAACTATGACTCTCTTAAGGTAGCCAAATGCCTCGTCATCTAATTGAATGAGTATATTAGGTGACGCGCATAAATGGAGCCATTTGGGGGTTGTGATGACGGCTACCTCTTCGTTCCAAACGCTTAGGACACCGTGGCCTAGCATGGTCCAGAATAATGGTACGTGTTCATGGTCATAAGGCTGTGGATGCGGTTAGCCACTCCGGGAGATTAGGACTGAACGTCTCTAAGTCTGAATCCCGTCAATCGAGCGTAGGTAAATTCCGATAGTGGTTTGAGGACTTGTCCTCTATCATTCCGTAGTAGCAAATACCTTGAAGGGGGTGTAGCTTTCCACGATGATTGAAGGCGGCACTAGACGTTCTGTTTGGGGAAGCAGCCGTAGACATCCTAGACTGCCTACTTTTGTGGGATTAACCCAGCTTGACCGAGTGCTTGCACTTGGTTGAGTCCACGACATCTCCCTCATGGGAGTGTGTACGTTCCGACTGACCTTATGGGACAAACTCGAGCTTTAGCTTCATGTGGGGTCTGAGGGCTACGGTCGCAAGGCAGTTGAAGGCCAGACAGTTGGAATGGCTGCTGGTTAGTGCACTGCTGAGTGGTTCGGTAATCCGTTCAGGCTGCCAGGTCTAGCTGCATGATCCCGCCTTGCCGCTCGTGCCAATTGAGGATTTTGGGTAGTGGATTGGTGGAGGGGTCTTGTTGATTCATAAGTGCCCGAACGGGGGCCACTGTTCGTTGTCGTGCTTTTTGGGAGTCCGACCTGTTCGCAGATCAAACTAGTCAACATGTATGTTCCCGATAGGGTCAGGGGTGATTACTGTTGGCGACAGGGAAAATCCTTGTGTTGCCTAAAAAACAGCGATGTGCATGTGCAGCGGGCTTGTCGGTTTACCAAGCAAATGTATATATATATATATATATATATATATATATATATATATATATACAACTTCAAATTTACAACTGTATATGCTTAGTATCAACACGGATTGAAATACTAGAAAAAATTCATTTTAGTCAACCATTTTAAGTGAAAAAACAAACACAATAAAGTCAGTAAGTTGCAAATACATTTTACACATTAGTTAGAGTTTCTTTTTTTGGTATTTTTTAAAAATGTATATTGCCAAATCATATGTTATCTGTTTTTTTTTTCAGTAAGCAAAAATTATATATATATATATATATATATATATAAATGATATTGAACAATAGAATTGTTAGCATAAAAATGAAACTTGAACACATTTTATATGTCCGACTATTATTTTCATCATTATTGTTCTTGATTTATGCCAAAGTAACACATGTTACATCACAACCAAACACTCCTGAGTTGAGAAAACTTTTACAATATCACAATGATCTAAGAAGTGATCTTATGGCATGTAAGTTACCTGGACAACCACCAGCAAAGAGGTTGCCAATGCTTGTAAGTGCTCTCATGAAATCGATTATTGTTGTTTCTGTTACTCTCATAGCAATGGGATAATGAACTGGCTTCAACAGCGAAAGATTTAGCCAATGAATGTTATTTTCATCATAACGATGTTGAACTAAAGCATAAATGGGATTTTGTCGGTCAAAATATTGCAGGATATCAAACACTTGAATTGTATGTAAATTGCATATATATTTTCATTTTTTCCCAATTCATTAGAGCATTCAATGCATGGAAAGAAGAACATGAGATGTATAGTTTTTATTCAACTAGTTGTTCTGGCGTTTGTGGACATTATACTCAAGTAAATGAATAAAACAAACTTAACAGTCAATGAAAATGTTAATTTTATTATGTATGATAGGATTGTGTAAAGATTGTTGAATTATTTATTGATATCATAAATAGATGAATGTTAGACTACTACTATTAGTAACTTGGATGCACTGAAAGACTACAGTTTCGTCCTGTTGTGGGACTCATCAGCTAGACATGAATACTATTACATTTCGGCTCAGTAGTACAAAGGTAAGGCGGTCGCGTGGTAGACCGAGAGTCCTGGGTTCGAATCCTGCACTGTGCAGGAGTACCGGATGTGTACTGTTGGACGAAACGACCGTCCAGTGCTTCCAGGTTTCTAATGCTGGTCTAAAGTTCAACGATTCATGATTACAACAGATAACTAGATAATAGTCATAGGTAACAATAAATTAGTTATGAGGGATGAAAATTTGAACTGAATAAAATATTACTTGCTTGAAAGTATTCTACTCGCTAGTATAATTCAATGTTTTATACTTGATAGATTGTAAGTTTACAGTAAGATGACTAATTCTTTAACTATTATTAACCTGTCATGAAGATTGCTTTTAAAATAAAATGAATGACACAAGTTCATTCCTTTTGTAGTCTGACTTATGCTTAAGAAATGGAAACACACTGATCATGATTGAACATTTTCACTAATATAGTTTACAAACTATATCATATAATGAATATTAGAACATTAAATAGATTAGAGCTTAGTACTGAACTTTTTCGATATTACTAAAGACATGCTCTAATGTTTATGACTTACTTACTTAATTAGGCTGCCGACCAACATTCTCCAACCTACTGTGTCCTGGGCTTACCTTTCCAGTTCGGTAATGTTTATCATCAAACATACTCATTATTAAATAAGCTGAATGAAACAATGTTTACTGCTAACACTATCGAATCATTCGGTATAAAATGCCAAGGTCAGAGAGAGGGAGGAAGTTCTAGAAATGGAGACAGACAGAAGAAGAATGAACAAAAATTGGACATAAGTGAAAAGGGAAGCTCAAAACAGAGTAGGCTGAGGAATACTAGTCTACGGCCAATGCTCCATTTGGGGTAACAGGCGTAAGTAAGTAAGTAAGTAAGCAAGTGCATAAGTAAGTAAGTAAGTGCATAAGTAAGTAAGTAAGTAAGTAAGTAAGTAAGTAAGTAAGTTTTCTACGATTAGAATAACGGTAGGTAGTAAACATTATTTCTAAAATAACACTGTTGTTTTTATTTCTGTTAACTTACTTTTCATAATTTAGTTAGTTTGGCAAAACACCACACATGTTGGTTGTGGTATAACAAATTGTACCGGTTATTATGGATTTCCTTATGGATTATCGGTTGTTTGTAATTATGGTCCAGGGTAAGTAAGTATAAAAAACTAGTTAGTAATCATTAGTTCGATTAAAAAGAATTACACACATACATTCCATGTATTAAGTTTTAAAGTAGCAGCTAAGAAAATAGTTTTCTCTTTTCTTATATTAAAGAATGTAACTAAAGCTTAATTTACCTTGAATGTTATTATTTACTTTTCTAGAGGTAACTATGAAGGTCGTTATCCTTATGATCCAAAACCATCATCTGAATGCCGTGGTACAACTACTAGACGTCCACCAACTACAACACCCGCCAGACCAATTAAACCTTCGAGACCACCAAAACCCGATTGGAAAACACTTATCAATACATGGGATGCATTTGTCAAGTACTATCAATTACAAGGACTTGTAACACAAACATGTATTTGTCTTGGATAAGAAAGAGAAAAGAAATTGATTAGTTTTTTTTATTTCTATTCGTTGAGCATCATGAGCATGTGATTTAATAAAATAAAATTAAAAAAATATAAACATCTTTTGTAAGCTAACAACTTCTTTTTTTGTCAGTAATTTTTGGAAAGATTTGATTTCGATTAATATGGTCTCATGTGCTGTTACGGGTATGAGGGCGGTTGTCACTTCCCGGCTGCCTACACACCATGGAAGGGTGTTTCTTGAGGAACTTGAAAAGGAAGGTGGATTAGAGTTGGTCTGAGAGACCTGGAAGCGTGACCGTAGAGTCCAAGGGACAACTGCTTGAGGCCGGTCACGCACGGCCTTTTTATGAATGGTTTTTTGAGTATTAGCTCCGCTCTTGAAAGCACTTAGTGGACACTCTTACTGCCGGAGACGGAAATCTGTGAGATAGGGTGAGGTGTGACATTTTTAGGGTCAACCTTTTCTAACCCTTCCTTCCTTGTGAGAAGGCAGCATCGCTGCAAATGCTGGTTGTCCGAGGGAAACACCTTACTGACGTCACACCCCTCTGCAGTCAGCAGTACGACTTCGCCCTCAGACCTTGATTAGCTGCTTTTAGTCTCATCGTTCTCCAATCGAACTGCCTGACATGGTAGAACCTTCAGGAACATATGTTCCAGCCAATGTAGCTCGGTTGGGTCATCAGGATAGGCAAGCCCGACAGCCACCTCAAGATAGCAGCTACGGTCGGGTTGTCGGTAATAGTACAGTATTTAAGTAGTATATTACCAGTCAAAGTGTATATTACAGTGTCATTTAAGCTTTGTTAAAAATTAAAACTATGAATTGAGTTTTACATCAACCTGAGAGTGTTACACCGAAGGAAAAAAATTATTGAAGTTGACTGCAGAATCCAGATTATACAAAATGTGTACATTTAATGGGTTAGAGTTCCCTGTGAACTTGATTCAATAGCCTAGAAGTGTACAAATAAACAGTTGTCCTTCTATGATCTAGGAACTAAATCATAATAACGTGAATACTAGTTTACTTATGAGAGAAATGAATTGATAGTCTTTTAGAACACTGGCTTCATCACAAATTTGATTAAACTATAATTTAGAAATAAAAATCGACAAATTTCTAAACTCCTCAGCAGTGCGCATCCATGACTCCTGCACCCCGCAGGACTGGAACCCAGGACCTTCGGTGTTGTAGGCGAATACCTAACCATCGGACCACTGGGCTGGCCCCGAGTATGTGTAACTTAACAAACTTCACAAGCCCGTAATGCAAATTTCTAAACTGTCTACTAATTAAATTACTGATAGAAAGATAAATTGAAATCATATATTTTTTTATTTTCGAAGTATTGTTCGTATATCCTGAGACAACCGAATAAGCACTGCTGTTGTTAGGAAACGAGTACTAGATAAGGATGACAAATCAGTTGATGAAATAATGAATCTTTATCAAGTGAGATGGTTGGGACATGTTTTATGAATGCTCAACCATCGACTGCCTCGATGAGTGATGTTTTTTGGTGTAGGAGTTGGTTGGAAGAAAGCTATAGGCAGCCCAAACAAAACATGACACAAACCCATGAAGTCAGTGGCAACTGGACTGAGTCATGTTCGTAAGTGTCGACTAGCTGGTTGGGGCCTGCGAGATGATAGTAATTAATGGTTAGAGACTCTGAATGACATGTCTCAAAACAGTTTGCAGTGACGCAGGTGCATTCATTCGCTATGTTCTCTCAAATCATAACCTTTATCTTTTTCTTTTTAAGTTTATTTCACTAAATTCTAATTCTTGAATAATATCTTCGAACCCCAATCTCTCCGATTACTGCTAATACTTTTACTATATCTACTACTAAGGAATTCGAAGTGACAATTGCACCTCTGTGATAATATGGTATGGCAACTTGAACTGATACACGACGTTCAGCGTTGTTGCTGACCGACCGAATGACTGGATCATTTAAACGGTATTAAAGCTTGTTTATGGGCCACATTAGCCAATTATAACTATATTTGATAAGTTGTTTCTATCGATCGAGTTATTAAACCGAATCTGAATACTAATCAACACTAAAATAAGATAATGCGCCTGAACACTAATCGATAGATCAACTGAATAACGAGTTAACACAAGTGGCAGTCAATCAATAAAATTTTAGTGAATATGTGGAGTGATACCAGGTCCCGTTTCTTTAGTCTCACTCACCTTACCTAACCTAATGACCAGATTAGCCTGCTTCTATCAAACAACTAGTGAACGGATAGGGTTAAATTAGAAAACCGTTATGTAAGAAATCCATTTCAAAGTTGAAACTAAACTACGCATATAAGATTCGCCTTGAAAATTTCAGAAAACAAACTAATTTCGACTTTGTCAGTAACGTTTTGTTATCTGAAAGGTATTTTTTTGTTTAGAAACTTTGAAAATCTGTGTTTTTTTCAAAATCTTAAATTTCACTGAATAAATTTTCTTAATAGGTGTGTATTTTAAGAGTTTAGATTATTACTGTTAGTAGTCTGTCCATTCCAAAATAGTTTATATCTTTCCAAAATAAATTATTTTCAGCTAGCTACAAATGTATCATATTTAAACCATGACAGTATTTTCGACCGTAATAGTCTGTTAGCACCGAAACTGTTTGACAGCTTAATATTCAGTTAGTGACTTTCGATTAAAATCAAGTATCCCACCTTACTCACCTTACTCGGTAAACAGATCGAAGACAAATGATGCAGTGTCACGATAGGTTATTCGAATCCGAGCATCCGAAGACTCTGCTAACTATATCAAGAAGTTTTGAAAAGACGTAGAAAGTGTATTCTACAAGCACCCAGCAAAAATGTGGTCGACAAGCACACAAATCGAGTTTATTTATACATGATAGAAACATCCTTAGAAGAGGCACGAAAATAGCATACTAAATTGTTCTATCAGCCAATGACAGCCAAGGATTTTCCGAGTGCGAAAGGTAAGCCCAAGGTCAGCTAAGAAACTTGTGCGCGAAAACACATAGAATCCAAAATTAAGAGCTTTTTCAAGTAACCTCGGGGGATCTAACGACCCCACCAACATTTTTATGAAGTGGATTTTTTATGCATTAATCAATTTATATTAAATCCTTGTTACGTAGATCGTCTTTGAATGAAACTTTGTATCTTTAGACAAAATGAATATTCAAGATAGTCTGTCAACAGAATCTGAAAGTAGTCGACTTCTAAATCTTGAATAAAAATTTGTTCTTTGTGCTCTATGGTTTAAAGGTATTTCGATCAGTAGAACTTTTCATCCGGTGATTAAATAAGACAGTTTAGTCAAGCATTTTTTGGAAGAAAGTTAGTACTAATAATTTCTACACATTCAATGTTCACGTTGAAGTTTAAAAATGAAAATTACCAAGACTTTCAACCTTAGTTTTAAGGATTCAGTTATTTGATTGAAGCAAGCTAACGATGTTGAAAGGAATCATATTTTAATCCTTATGTGAACACTTTCAAACGTGACTAAGCTACGATGTACTTAAGACCATAAAAACACAGTTTCAATCCCATTCACTTCATTTGGATAGAAAGACGATATAAAGCCATTGTTTTCATTAACTTATCCTATTAATAACTATCTATTAAAAATCTGTCCTCTTTCTGAATCCATAACTACATTTACTTTGTGTAGAAGTGACAATAAGCGAGCTTTTCGTTTGTTTGAACCAACCTAGACCATAATAAGTTAATTTTTTGGGATGTTAGGTACCCAGAACTAACTTGATAAAGGTTCTAATTTTGGATTTTTGGTGTTTTCGCGCATGGGTTGGTCAGTTGACCTTGAGCCTACATTCCCCATCTGGAAATCCTGGACTGTCAATGGTTGATGTGTTATTTTAGTAAGCTATTTTTGTGACTCTCCCAAAGACGTTTCTATCATGTATAAATAAACTCGATTTGTCTGCTTGTCAACGTCATTTTTCCTGAATGCTTTTAGAATACACTTTCTACGTCTTGTCAAAAGTTCTTCCTCAACTTAGTGGGGCCTTGGAACACTCGGATTACAGTAGCCTACCTTATCATTGCATCAACTATCTTCGCTCTCGTTTACCGACTAAGATGAACTCGTAATAGCATTTAAGTATATCACTTGACGAACGTATGATTAATAAGCATTCAAATTATCATAAATGTGACTTGACTAATGTACGTACATACAATGTTCACCTTAAAATGATCTTCATTATTCATAAGCTTTATTAAATTTGTAAAAATTCAAAATCATACAACACGAATAGAATTCATTGAAAAAAACCAGATTAACTAATCAACTATGATGATGATCATTTAGTTTAATAACAATGAGATAATTTTGTTGGCAATGAAAATATATTGTCAACATTTTACAACATGATTCTAGTGTTGGTGTTTTTATTTTTTGAAGTAATTTTTGTCCAGAAATCATGTTCAACAATCATTGTGTTTTCTTATTCAATTTGACATGACATGACGTGTCATTTTTGGCGTGTATAATACACCCACTCACTCATTCACTCACTCACTCACTCACTTGTCATTTCATTTTCATTGCATCTATTTTGGTTATGAAATTACGTAAGAATGAAAGTAAATGATATTGAAAAACATACATTGTACTGTTTCATGTCCACCATTAGGGCTGTTTTTCATTGTAACTTGTCAGAAAAACACGCTTTACATGTAACAAACATCATCATCATCGTCATCATCATCAGATTAAAACTTCAGTCAGTTTTGTAAATAAAACCAAAAAAAAAGGAAATGAGAAGTTAGACAGTTTTCAGATTTTAAAAACCCCAAAATATGATGGATGATTGCCAATTATTAATTACAATTGACGTCATATGTGATGAAAAAGAAAAACAATAATGATAAGAATTGTCAATTGGACATTTTAAAGAAGAAATGTAATTTCTGTTTGTGATTTATTGTTGAATGTTTCTTGGTAGTTAAAGGGTAGATTAGTTTCCTCATGATTGCTGGTTTATCTTGTTTACAAGGTCAGGAGGGAGTATTCATCTGGTTAAGTCCAAATATATGTAATATCTTACGCGAAAGATCTCAAACTATTCAAATTGGTGGTCACA